CATACATGTAATTCATATGAAACAACAATACATAAAGAATATGATACATACATTCGAACAATAATTGCACGTTATATATGTGTTTGGTATTATCCATTAATATCAACAGATCAAGAATTTCCTGAAGATTTAATGATTATATTTCATATAATATTAAATCGCTTAAATGATCAATTTAAATTATTAAAATCTCATGATATAATTCGTCTTATTATTAATTCGAAACAAAAACATATGGAAGAATATTTACGTGCACATGATTCATATAGAAAACAACGTAAACCAAATCGATTAAGTAAATCACTTGTTGAAGAATTTTCTCAAATCAATGGTTTTCATCGTGCAATAATTAGTAATGATATTCATGCATATATAAGAGCACTTGTTGAATTATTATTAACAAATTTAATACCAGAATCATTTCAAATTTATTCTGGTAGTCGTACAGGACGAGAATTTCTTACACAAATTATTGTTAATTGTATTTTTTTACCATTATTTAATCAATTTTCTAAACCACGAATGATTTATTATTTAATTATTCTTTTATGGGAAACTGAAGAAGAAAAAAAATCTTTTGAAACTAATGAAAATTCTTTAATCAAACAATCAAAAACAAATAATAATGAAAATGAAAATGAAAATGACCCTGTGACACTTACAGAACAGTTAACTGATCAACAAAATCATGATGATGAACCTCGTTCAACACGTTTAGAACGTATTATTTATTCAGCAACTATTATTTCATGTGATACAGCATATGATTCCATGTTTGGTGCAGCTTATACTGTTTATTTGATTCAAGTAACATATTTGATAAGAAAAATAAATATAATAAAGTAAGATTTTCTTTGCCATGATTTCTTTTTGTATAGTGTGAAACAAAATCTCCATTTACATCAGATGCTACTCATCGATATACAATTCCAAGACGTTTTCGTGAATTTATAAATTTACACAAAAGATTACAACAAAATCATATAACAAGTCGACATTGTTATGGTTAGAATAGAATTTTATTGAATCAATTAAAGGTTTTAGAATTATCTTAGATATCGATGAAGTATTTCGAACACTTCCTATTCCAATCGATAATATGAATCCAGATGTTATCCGTCGACGAAAATATATACTTGAACAATATATTCAAGTATATTTATCTGTTTTAATTGAAAAGAAAATAATCTTAATATAGATTCTTTTTTGGTTTAGAAACTTATTTCAAATGAAGTTCTTAATTGTTCACATGATGTACTCGAATTTTTCGCCTTTAATTCTGATCCTAATATACCATTTGAAATATTACCAAGTAAATTATCAGTGCCACGTGTTGATAAAGTAAATCTCGATTAACTTTATCAATTTATTTATGTCGTTATTTTTTTTAAACTTAGGTTCTACTTCGTACCTTGTCTGATATGGGAAGTAAATTAACTAAATTACGTTCAAATAAACGTGAAATAACTCCATTACATGAAACATTTCAATTAAATATTTCACCAACGTATGAAAATGTATGTTAACTAATAAATAGCAGGTTTCGAGATCGGGTCACTTTTTGATGGTCCCACCGGTATCGGACCAAGAATTACTTATGTATGGTGGGTTTGACTTCTGCTGTATTAGAGTCCGGCCCAACTAAAAATGGCACTAGTAGAAGTAAATTTCTTTTGCAAAAAGAATGAACAGTTTTAGTGTTTGAAAAAAACAGCATGAGAGATAAGTGGAATTACTTATTTAACCAAAACACTAAGGTGTATTGGTGGGGTACTCTAACATCTTGAAGACTTTCATTTATTAACATAAGCTTTCACGGATTACATGTCCGCCGATCAATTTCAACGAATCAGATCAGTTACTGTTTTTAGTTACAGTTTCACTTCAGCAACATTCATGCCATAGATGGAACCGGTACCGGTCCGAACTTCAGACTGGCCGGTCTATCGATCTATTACTAGTCTTATCAATCTGGTACTGATCTAACGGCTTACTGCCTATCTACAAGGTATTCACTCGCTTAACTTTCCTACTTTTGTGTTTTCCTCATCAACACTCCTGCAATATTCCTATTGATCCTAATTAATGCCGTATACTGAATATATAATGAAATTTTGTTAGAATTTGACGAAAATAAATTATACAAAAACCATGTGAATATGTTGTTGTATAAGCAATTCTATAAATTTTTATGTTGTATATACTGTAATATGGGTAGAACCTGTAACGATGGTCTGATACTTTACTGATAGATTAGTATTTTACCGGTAGATCGGTATCGGTATCGGTCATCAAAAAACTAGACCAGTTCCATCTATGGTCGATGTCGCTTAATGTAGTTGATAGTGCGTTCAGTCTTGTGTGCAGACAAGAAATATCATTAAACAGAATAAATCCTTTGTTTTTATTTATTGGCTAAATGAAACTTCCAAAACGTTTGCATAATGAACATTCTTGATTGTTGCCAGTTACAAAAATAAGTTTTAAGAAAAATTATATCACCTTGAAGATTTTTACAGTGAAATGTAGATATGTATCTATTGTATGAATACAATTGGCCGTAATTTCTAATCAGATAAGCTCTACAATGTGGATAGAGGAAAAATAGTTTTTGATGAAAAATTTGTTTGTCTAAAAAAATGATTTTCTAAAAGACCAGCATATGAAAGACCAAGAAGATTTTTCATGGTCATTTTCAGAATCAGTATGTTGCATCTAGTATCTTTCGTTAAAAAACGACTGATTAGAGAAAATATTCTCTTGATAGACTTGCGCAGGTGAAATAGATTGCATGTAGGGTATTCCTTTTTCTAAATTTTTGTTTAAAAACTTCTTTTTTTATCACAAAATATCGACATCTAAATATACAATCGAGGATCTGCATCAATGACAGAATAAAATTCTTTTTTCTTTTTATCGTTTTGACAGGAGACAATCATAACGAATAATATCAGACTGTGATGATACTGTTCGTTATGCATTTATTTATTTATCCGTTTCGCTTAGTTACTATTCATAATTTCTAAGTAGTTATTATTATTCTATGTAAATTGTCATAAATATACCAAAAGTTGACATGTTCTCTTCACCTAATTCATCAAATTCATTCAAAAGGGTGTTTTTCCTAATCTTAATGTTTTCCTTTTTGTCTGGTTTCGGTTCATACGAGAGAGCTGTGCAAAGTAAGCTTTTTTTTCGTATGCAGTATTCTAGCTTAGAAAAATTTTCAAACCTTTACTCTTCCCTGCAGGTTAGAATAACCCTGCACATCTTTAACTGATTCATCTTGTATCAAATCAACAAATCTGTCCTATCGCCATGTTATTTCGTTATGCATGATGTCCTCGCTTTCTTATCAAGATAGTCTTATATTTTCATGCAATCATCACCATCATATTTGTATGTAGAAACAACACATAGATGATGACAAGTAGATTGAAGAGTTTGATAACCTTCCTTCATAGGCTTATTTATTTTATTTTTAAATGATTTATTTATAGGCATCATCTACAATGGAACAATTGGAATTTTATATTCGACAATCATCATTCCGATGTACATCATCTTCATTACAATTAAATTCAACAGATTCAGCATTTTTACAATCACTGTTACCACGGCCATCAATTGTAACATCACGTCGAAATAAAATAATTCGTAAGATCGAAACAAAATATACTATTGAAATGATTTATTTTATTTTAATTAGATTCCGATATACCTTTAACGGATGCAGTACTTAATTTAATTCATACATGCTTACATTCTCGTGATGCAATAATTAGTTATCAATCAATTCATCAAATTCTTCGTACATTTTTTGGTCATTTTATTGAAGAGTTTGTTTATTGTGTTTTTTTGTTCTTATAAGAATAAAAATTAATTTCTAGATTTTTAAAAAATCAAATCGATACTTTATTTTCACGTGAAAAAACTCTTATGTATTTAATTGATTTACGTACAAAAGTACTTTGGCCTGATGATAATAATACTGCTGTGCCAATGAAAAATGTTAAACATCGAGCATATAATGCATGTATGAAGCAAATTCCAAGTATGAACTTTTTTATTTTTCTTGCTTTGTATTTTTCTTATTTTCAAAAAAATAAAAAGATTGGCTTCAACGCATTGTTGGTAGAGACAATGTTCGTCGTATTGTTATGAATGTCCTTGACTGTTTAAGCTATGAACAATTGAATAAGTTTGTATATTCTATTTGAAATAATTTTAAAAAAAACAATTTTTTTAATGTTTTCTGTATTATTTAGACATTTTATTTGTAATTTATTTGATTTATTTATTGAACAATTAATACCAAATATAGCAACAGAAGATTTTCTAACTAAATATGTTCAGATGCATACTGGTAGTCGATCATAAAATACAAATCGATATTATTATTTTCACTAGTCGATAGATGTGATTTTGTTTTTTGTACTTTCAAATTTAATATACGATTTTTGATTTATGTATTCATTTAATATATTTGTATGATTGTATTTTTTTGTCTTCATATGAATAGTCAAATAGATTTGTTTTTGATACAAGAAGAAAAAAAGAAAAAAAAAGAATCAAAATGAATGACATATATATGCAACAATAACCAGGTGAAGATAAAAAAGCATATGTAGTTGGTCTTTTTTTTCGCTATTTGCATGTCATACATAAGCCATTTATACGTAATACTGTTGTCCTATCGTTCGATATAAAAACCTTGTCTACTGAAACACAAGGTAATTCTATGTATGTATTTTCTTTGGATACGATCGAGTGAGTGATTATGTATTGTTATCTATCGATGAAGAAAAGGATTGCTTATAGAAATCCATTGATATTGATGCATTTATACATATATTTTTTTCATATACATCATGTGTTAATTTCTTAGCACATATATTTCTTTTTTAATGTATAATACTTGATAGATTTTCTTGCTTGTTTTACAAAAAAAAACACTTGTCGATCTTAGTTTCAGTATATAGCACAATTTTAATTTTCCTATGGCTCACCATATTCTCAATGGTAATAATAATAAAAGTGGTAGTGGTCGACCAGCGTCAATAACTCTGCCAACGAGCAAACATATCACACAAGAAAATTATGATTATGAATTGAAGAAATTAATGGAACGTGAACGCCAATTAATGGCTACACAGGTGTGTATTTTGCTATTAATATTTTATATTACGCGTATTTTTTTACCTCTAGCAGCAATTACCAAAAGATAATAATGTAATTACATCACAAAAAACTCCGTATATACCATCAGGTGATGGCTTATATAGATATGTACAACAACAACAAGCTACTTCGCCAATTGATCAACGAGTATTACCACCAACATCAGCAACTATATCGGCTAATTCATTGCCCGTGAAGCCACTACGCATTATTATTATTCGTCATGCTGAACGAGTTGATGCTGTTTTAGGTTCAGATTGGTCAAAGAAAAGTTTTGATAGAAATGGTCGTTATGTACGATTTAGTGAACATTTACCAGATGTGTACGTTCTTTTGCAAAAAAACAAAATACTTTTTGTCTTTTAAGCAATAATGTACTCATTCTAGATTACCGCATCGTTCTTATTTACATCATTATGTTATTGATGTACCGTTAACCAATCGTGGTCGTATGCATGCATTTAAAACAGGAAAAGCATTATTACTCAATGGATACGGAGCTGATATTTGTTATACAAGTCCATCATTGCGATGTGTACAAAGTGCAAATGGAATTTTAACTGGTATGGGTAAAAAAAATGTACCTATGCGATTGGTAAGTTATAGATTTAAATTACATATAGAATCTCTTTATCAAATATTTTTGTTTATTAAATAGGAGCCAGGTTTATTTGAATGTTATTTAAACGATTTTAAGCGTACATTGTGTTTCATGACAAAAGATGAATTAAAAACTAATGGATATAATATTGATCCATCTTATCAAGCTTTAATACCATTTATGAGGCCACATGATAGTCAAATTGATTATTATGAGCGTTGCCGAACATTTATGGATAAAATTACAGAACGACATCAAGCTACAGGTGGAACTATTTTAATTGTAGCACGTAAGTTTTATATTTTATTGATTTATACTTTAAAATATTAAAGTCTAAAACTATTTTTCTTCTTTATTTAGATGCACCAAGTCTTGAAGGTTTAACACGCCATTTAACTGGTGGAAAATTTCAACCAGGTTGATTGTTTTTTTTTTCTATTTAAAAATTATAATAAAAATCTTTATTTTCTATTTCCTAGAAAAATTATTTGATATTGCTCGTCGAGTACCATTTCTTGCAATGACTATAGTTGAGAAGAATGGTATTAATAGTCCATGGCTTTTTCGTACACGACCCCTACAAACAAACTCAACACAATCATTACAAGAACTACCATTTGAATTAATTTCACCATCGACACCTCTTGGTATGATAGGTAATAATCATTCTATGACTCCGCAAGGACAACAACAAATACACCGTCAACAACAACAACAACAACAAAAACAAAATCAACAGCCGTCTCAAATTCAAACAGCTGCTGCATATGCAAAACAAAATCAACAACCGCCTCAAATTCAAACAGGTGCTACATATACACAACAAAATCAACAGCCTAAACAACAAACTGCCACATCAATTGAAAATCTACAAATAAAACCACCAAATGGTCTTATTCCAATTGATTTAAAAAAGGTTGTTAAAAGTTCAACAGCACCAAATTTACGCATGAGCAATTCACTTAGTGAAATGTTTCGCGTTATTTGATTTAATTAAAAGTGATTGACAATCTTCATTTTTACATGATTTTTTTTATTATATTTTGATATTAAAAAACAATAAAATAAGATTTAACATGTTTGCCTATCGACCGCGCGAATTGTCCGAAAATAAAATCATTTTTCTTTTACTATACATATAATCATGAGCTGGAGAATTCGAATGAATATTGATTCATCTATAGAAATGAAGTCATATCAAATGTTAACAATGTCATCGAACCATCAATTCAATAATTCATGGAATCGATCAAAAATTCAATTATGTCTAACTAATTCAAGTCTAACTACACAAAATATTACACCAAAAATGCAAACAATGGTTACTTATCATCATCATCATCATCATCATGTAAATGTTAAACGTTGTCTATCAAAAGAGACAGCATCAATAATAACAATTGAGAAAAAACAAAAAATTTCAGTTGAATCTCGAAATTTTGTTCTTGTTTGTGGTCAAAATATTTGTGGTCAACTTGGTTTATCAATAACAATTATCGAACGACGTAAACCACAATATTTAAAAATTTTCAATAAACTTAATAAAGATGAAAATATTCAATATATATGCGCAGGTGGTATGCATTCATGTGCATTAACCATAACTGGTTATGTCTATACATGGGGTTGCAATGATGACGGAGCCTTGGGTCGAATAACAGATGATATTAATGATGAATACATTCCTGATTTATTGGTATTACCTGAAGAAATCAAAAATCTTTGTGCGGGTGATACATTTACTGTTGCTTTAGCCAAATCTGGCCGAGCTTATATAAGTGGTTGTTTTCGATGTAGTGAAGGTTTACTTGGTTTATTTGAATATAAACAAATAACACAACAATCAATTGTTATTCCATTAAATCAATCGATTCAACAGATTGCATGTGGCGCTGATTTTTGTCTTTTACTAACAGAAAATGGTAGTATTTTTTTTGTACGATGAAAATGAAAGAAAATCATTATTTATTAATAATATCAAATTTTATAAAGATCTTTAACGGATGATCACTAAGCTTTTAGACAAAATGTTTGTTCACTTTTCACCTGCTAGAAAGTATCAAAAGTTATGATTGACGACGAAAATTGTGCTCTTTTCGAGTATGGATTGACGATAGAACCTTTTCAGCTGCTTGCGTCCTGTTCCAATGGTTTTTTGTCTATAGATGCTGCAAAGTGTTTTAGTAAAAGTCCTAAAAGAATTCGAGTTCCTATTGATATCTGACTAAGCTAGATAGTTTTGATCTGAAACTTTATACATGTAGAGAATTCAACTAGACTAATTTTCATAAAAAAAAGTCAAAAGTTTTGAACAAAGCTTCTTCGAAATGTGAAGCTTTCAAAATATTCATGTCATATACACTACCCATTGAAAAAGGTTTATATCTTGAACGTTTCATATTTCATAGAGACTTTGTTCAAAACTGCTAAACTTTTTATTGAAACCAATCTGGTTGAGTTTTCTATATGCACAAAGTTTAAGATCAAAACTGGAAAACATAAGTATCCCGAAAACCTGGAATCTAGAAAATAGACATATTAGAAACTTGATAGTTCAGTCAGGTATCAATATAATGAACCAAAATTCTTTTAGAGTTTCTATTAGAACATTATGCCGTATCTATAGGCAAAAAAGGACATTAAAATCGAGAGAAATCAGCTGAAGAGATTCCATTGTTAGAAATATTTTGTCTATTTTTGTTCAAAAGTAGTGAAAGACTTTTAAAAAGATGCGAAAAATCACTTTTAATATAGAACCAACAGACTTATTTATCCTACAAAGCCCTTTTCGAACATACTACAAATTGTCGGAGTCGATCGTTCTGTAGAGCAGACACTTCTCTATAGCATATGGCCTTGAACTAAGCTCTAACATTTACCCAAGTGAGAAGACTACAAGTAGTTCTTCAAGAGTTCATTTCAAAGTAAAACGGTTGATGCTTTCTCACAACGTTTAAAAACTTTGTGATCATCTATTAATTAATTTTCATTTTCTTTTTGATTAGGTGATCTCTATTCATTTGGAAATAATGAAACAGGTCAATTAGGTCGTGATGTTCATCTAGATCCTAAAGAAAATTCTTCAATATGGTTGCGACCTTCTGAAATTCCTTGTTTTAAAGGACAACATATATTAAATATTTGGGCTGGTGGACATGGCTTTTTTGTTTTAACACAAAATTCAACTATTCATCTTTTTTCTTGTGGTGCTAATAGTTTTGGTCAATTAGGTCATTCATCAAAACAACCAATTTATTTACCAATTGAAATCAAAGAAATTTCATTCGTAGATAAAATTATAAAAGTATCTTGTGGTCTTCAACATACACTTATACTTGATTCAATGGGATATGTTTATGGACTTGGTAGAAGTGATGATGGTCGTTTAGGTAATAATCTTAATAATGATATAATTATGCCTAAACAAATTGATAATCTAACAAATATTATTGATATTGCTGCTGGTGGTAGTGTTTCATTTGTTATTAATAACTATGGAGAAATCTATTCATTTGGTATGGGTGATACATGTCAAATAGGTCACGGAAATGAAGATATTTTTGTACCAACTTTAATCAAAAGTAAACAATTAGAACAACGAAAAATTCAACAAATATCAGTCGGTGCTCAACATACACTTTTTCTTGTTAAAGAAGATTAAGATTAGATTAATATCACAAATTATCAGAGAAATCTTATCATGATTGGTTATTTAAAAAGACATATCAAATGATTTCGTTCCTCTGTTTATATAATGATTGGTTTAGTAATATCTATTTGTTTTATTCAAAAGAAAAAACGATAGTAATAATCACAGGCATGTCACGGTTGGATAATTTTTTTTCTGTTTGTTATATCGAGTAGTTCATTTTATAAATCTTAAAAAGAATAAACGCTTTCTCTTTCTTTTCTTTTATTACAAACGGCGGAGTCGCATCGATTTTAACAGAGTCAAGAAAGAAAGAAGAAAAAGGAAAAAAAAAGAGACATATCAAGCACATTTTTTTAAAGGATTTATAGGCGATAGTGCATTTACTTAGTTTTATGTGTCGGTTTTTTTCTCCCCTTTTTTTTTATTTGCATCGTTTGTCGTCCGTGCGACTGTTGGAATAACAAAAATTGTATGTGGTATGCACATAGGATTATCTTTATGAAATGTATATAGAATAGAAAATGAGACGATTTTCAGTTGAATATTTTAATTTTAAATTTTATGAAATTCTTATATATGAAGTTTTTAGATAAAACTGTGGTACACGAATCATTGATATGACTATAAATTTCTTTCATTTTATTGTGCTCTTATCATCGATAAATGCTTTCTATTTACCCGGTTTAGCACCGAATACATTCTGTCGTACATCAATACCTGATTCAAAATGCAAAGTTAGAGTCAAAAGAAAATTTTTATTCGTTTAGAAAATTGGTTTTTTATGTAGACTCAAGTTGACGTATTTGTCAATCGTCTTGATTCGGTTGAATCTATATTACCTTATGAATATTCATAGTGAGTTTAATTATATGTATTTATCAAAAAAAAATTAACTTAAAAAAATTAGTTTTGATTTTTGTACTGTCGTTGATGAACCATCACCAGTAGAAAATCTTGGTCAAGTTTTATTCGGAGAACGAATTCGTCCATCACCATATAAAGCTAGTCTTCATTTTTTTGTATAAATTCAATATAGATGTATATATTATTTTAGTTTAATTTTCTTAAAAATGTCAATTGTAAACTTGTATGTAAAAAAACATTTACGTCAACAGATGCTAGACAACAAAAATTTCTTAAACGTCTAATGAAAGGCGTGGTACTAAATTATCAACAACATTGGATTATTGATAATATGCCAGTAACATTATGTTACTTAAATTCTGAAAATACAGAATTTTGTTCACGTGGTTTTCCTATTGGTTGTTATGTAAGTAAAAGGGGTCAAGCAAAAGAATCCTGCAATATTCGAGATGGAAAAAATGATACATTCTATATTTTTAATCATTTGGATTTTGAAATTAGCTATCATAGTGGAGCAGGTATGGTAATAGGAAAATTAATCTTTATACAGTATATATTAGTTGCTATCTCAGTAGACGAAACATGGGGAACTGCATTTGGAGAGGATGGTGGTCGAATTATTTCAGCAAAAGTTCAAGTTAGCAGGTTTGTATAACATTAACCTATATCGTATGATGTAGGGTGTTGTATTCGTTCAAATACAATGATGCATGTATATGGAATTTCTTATTTATATATGATCGAACGTAGATATTGTTACAGAAAATTATCGTCATTTTTTTTAAATGATCAAAATAAAGACTCATTTCTCTAGTGTGGAATCATCTTGTGAAATATACTGAATAAGCATAAATCTAAGTTTTACTCTTTTTTATTGATAATTTTTCTTTTTTGTTATTTTAGTTTAAATTCGGAGACTTGTGAACGTAATGCTAAACCCATTACATTTCCATCAACATCAACAGAAGTTGAAATTCCATTTACATATAGTGTTACATTTAAACGAAATAATGATATACGTTGGGCTAGTCGATGGGATTATATACTTAAATCATTACCTCAAACACATATTCAATGGTTTTCAATATTAAATTCTCTTATTATTGTACTTTTTCTTTCCGGTATGATTGCTATGATTCTTTTACGTACACTTTATAAAGACATAGCTCGTTACAATCAAATCGTTGAGAATATTAGCGAAGTAAAACTAAAGAAAAATGTTATATGATATTTATTTATTTTTTAAGGAAGACGCACAAGAAGAATTTGGATGGAAATTGTAAAATTTATCGATTATTTTAAAAATAAGAACAAATATTATTTTTTTTAGGGTGCATGGAGATGTATTTCGATCACCAAATAAAGGAATGCTTTTGTCGGTTCTTGTTGGTAATGGTGTTCAAATTACAATCATGTCATTGATTACTTTGAGTAAGATTTCGTTTTTTTTTTTTCTTCTAAATTTGATTCTTAATTCATTTTTATGTCATGTATTTAGTTTTTGCTTGTCTTGGATTTCTGTCGCCATCGAGTCGTGGTGCTTTGATGACTTGTAAATCATTTCTTTTTTTAAGATATGTTTTATTTGTTTTGATTTGCCAAGGTGCTATTATATGCTATGTCCTATTGGGTACACCAGCTGGTTATACTTCAGCTCGTTTATATAAAAGTAAAAGATTATTTTTTTAAGGTAAAATGACGTTAGTTTTTTCTTGTCTCTAGTGTTTGGTGGGAAAAATTGGATGAAAAACGTTCCTATGACAGCAATTGTATGTCCTGGGTAGTAATTTAATAATTTACTTATAAAATTTAATTGACTGTCGTTTTCTTTTTGAACAATATTTTAGTGTGATTTTTAGTACTTTTTTTATTTTGAATCTTGTTCTTTGGGCACATGGAAGTTCAGCAGCTATTCCATTTACCACATTTTTAGCATTACTTGCTTTATGGTTTTGTGTATCAACACCACTTGTATTTCTTGGAGCGTATCTTGGTTTTAAACATAATGTAAGATTAAAAGAGTATCGCAGCTCATTGAACTTTAAGTTTCTTTCGCAAATCAAATGTTTGTAGTTGAATTTTTATGACAATCAACTGTAGTTTTCAAAGTGTCTGAGAGCCTTGATAGTTACCAAAGAACAAAAAATTAACTTCCATACTTTTATAGTTCCTCGCTATCAAATAATCTGAATGACGTGTTCGTGATACTGTTTCTCTCATTCATATGTTTATTTGTCATTAGTACGTCTTGGATCTTAATATGGATATGTTAAATCACATTTATTACGATACTTTGATTTGAGAAACTATCGAGCTTTGAAGGAGATGAGAAGGAACTTTGTCAGGTGATGTTGTCTGAGAAGTTTACATACGATTCGGAAACTTGAAAAGATATATTTCAATTATCTTGAAAGAAGTATAAAGTAAACCTTTTACTACCAAATGATGGCTTCTCAGTTTTCGATAAATTTCTTGTTTTTGTCTTCGATGGATTATGATGGCATGAAGAAAATTTCTGTCGATAGGAAAATTTAGTTTTTCGCAAAATCTGAACCGACGTCAGCTAAACAGCAAACAGCGATGAACTAATCTTACATTGTTATTTTGCGCTCGTTCAAGGAAAGGATGAATTAAATAAAGTTTTAATTTTTAAAATTTAGACTATACAAAATCCAGTTCGAACAAATCAAATTCCACGTCAAATACCTGAACAAACATCCTATACAAAACCATTACCAGGTGAATAGATAAATGATTCAAAGTGAAAGAAAAATAAAAAGTTTTTATAGGTATTTTAATGGGTGGTGTCCTTCCATTTGGTTGTATTTTTATTCAATTATTTTTTATTTTGAACAGTATTTGGTAAATTTATTTTTAATGTTTAATTAAATTTAATAAGATTAATTTAGGGCTCATCAATATTATTATTTTTTTGGATTTTTACTTGTTGTTTATATAATATTAATTTTAACATGTTCTGAAACAACAATTCTTCTTTGTTATTTTCATTTATGTGCCGAGGTATTCCATTGTTATGAGATTTCAAATGCCGAGAATAATTAATTATGTTTAATTTTAGGATTATAATTGGTGGTGGCGTTCATTTTTAACATCAGGCTTTACAGCTGTTTATTTCCTTTTATATTCAATTTATTATTTTACAACAAAATTAGAAATATCAGATGGTACATCAACATTTCTTTATTTTGGTTATACATTAATGTTAACATTTATTTTATTTTTATTTACCGGTAAGTGAAGAAAAAAGAAATAAAAGAAAATTTTTTCTTTTTTGTTTTGTTTTAGGTACAATTGGTTTTCTTGCTTGCTTCTGGTTTGTTCGCAAAATATATTCTGTCATTAAAGTAGATTAAAATTAATACATAATATTTAGTCTGATCGATTCATGTCCAACAAAAAGTTTCTTTCTTTCTCATTGCGTATTTGTTTCTCTTGTAGCAAATGTCTCGTTCGGCGACGTGTTTTTTGCTTCTTTTTACTGACATTTAACACTGATTCTTGCTCTGTTTTTTTTTAAAATTACACACATATCGTCTATGTCTGAATATTCAATAAACAAATTAATTATTATTCATTATTAATATATATCAATATATAGATATATATATACTTTTCATTTACTATTTATTGTTTTGTCCTTGTTCTTTTATTATTATTCTTCCACTTAGGTCTTTTTTTCTCAATTTTTATGACAAATAAAAAACATCTGACGGTAATAAAATATGATATACGTAGAATTCATAAAGAATAAACCAACATTATGATAAAAAAATGATGTAAAATGTACGATCGAAAATGAAAAACTATTCAAGCATATAATTATTTCTTATCAATGGTTTTTTATCTTGAATAAAAACCAGCTTTCTTTTTTTCTTTCTACAAGGAAAGAAAAAAGAAAAGTATATATTAACATTCTTTCTCTCTCAGTACATATATATATATGCATAATTATATATATATAAGTGTAATATTTCTGATAGTTTTGGATTATATTCTATTTTTAGATTTTATGCATCATACTTTAACAGCATTGACCAGCATCTGTGAAGATGCTTTTAATTCAGCTAACATTGGACAATATGATTTAAAACCATTTAATCGACAATTAATAAATGAAGAATATTTAAATAAAATTTTAATGAATAATGATGAACATATAGATAATTCATCATTATATTGTCCAACAACGAATTTTAAACAATTATTTCGTTTATCACATTTACATGTTGCACATCCATCACGAACTTCACTTTGGTTTCATCTTCTGCGTCAAGATAGAACACGTCATCAACATAAATTTCAACAAGCTGTCGAACGTTATCCAGAAGATATACGGTATGTTTTATGAAAAAGATGTGTGCTCAGCCGTGAAATATGTATGACGAACGTACTACATCATATATGTTCGAAATGCATCCTAGTCGTCCATTTTCTCTCGCGCAATTAATAGTACCTGAAAATAGGTCACTTGTAACAAATGAGTATAATGATGAAGAGCGATTGAAGATCTCAAATAAAAGCAAATAGTAATGTGTAATATGCATCGCATTCAGATATTCAATTTAAAAATATGATTAGTATCCAATTAAGTCTCTTCATTATCCACCATAAAAAAAATTTTTTTTTTCGATTGTCAGATTTTTATTTCTTATGATGTTTCGCAATGTCTGCTGACAAAAAATGTCTATGGTTTTATAAGTGGTCCCGACCTGGTGCGGATCAGGATTTGGTGACGCGCCAAAAATATTGGATCCGACAGATTCTAGTGAAGACTTCTCTTCATCCTCAATTATATGAAAGGTACTAATACAGTAAACGAACCAAGTACTGAACTTGAAATAAGCAACATATTCAATTAAAAATTATTTCACAGTAGAGACGTGTTAATTTACTTCTCTTTAGGTGCGACAATAGGTAGCCTGCAACGATTGTAAATGAGTAAAATAGGGAAGATACACGTCAAAAAAAAAACCTAAAATTTCCCTTTATTTTGCGTTTTTCTCAAAATCAATTTTTGAATAAAAAAAGGAGTTGTTAATCCCTTTTTTCTCAGATGGTACGACCAATCGAACTTTTATAGTTTGAGTGAATTTGACTGTTGTTTCTTTTTACTCAAAATGTTGTTCGTACAAGATTTGATAGCCTTCAAGAAATGAGTACCATTGAAAAAGTGTTTCTTTATACTACCTCTCCCACATAATATTTTGCTTTTCCTGAATCATAGGAACGATGTTTTTCAAAGATAATGTATATCCGATACGATTCTAGGCTCAACAAATGAAATGTAAATTTTTGCTAGGAGGGTAAAACTTCAAGCCGCTTTTGACCCTTAACACTTACATTTTATTTCCCTTTTCTATCCAAGGATACTGAAGAAACAATATAAAGCAATGAAATATTGGTTTTCTCTGTCACATCATAATACATTTATTATACTGTTTATTGATCAGAAAAAAAAGAGAGTTCATCTATTTCAGAACTATAATGTTTCTTGTAACTTAACAAAACTAGAACAAAAAATCTCTATGATTGGTTAAAAAGTGATAATGTCAATTCAAAATCTTTTAGATTTTCATAGAATATTAAACTATCAATTACCAAAACATTATTGAAATCAAAAGAAAGTCTCAAAATTTAATTTCACATTTTATTTGATAATCAATAAGAATTTTAATGATTTTTCAAGTAAGAGAATAAAGATTGAAGGTTGTCTATTTGTATCATTATTTCTTATATGCAGTGAATTACACTTCATCTCCACTAATCTCTATAGCTAAGAAAAGAAACTTATTCTTATGTGATTAAAACAGAACGAAAACCATCGGTAGACATGTTCGGTATCATGTGTGCTGTACTACTGTTATACCGACGGTAGTGCGAATAAACGGGCAACATGAGTAAACTCAATGCTAGATTTAAAGCAATTTGATTAAATATTGGATGGATATTGAGAATGACATTATTTAGTGATTTACACCTTAGAAGAATGATACAATGAGATTTTGATTTATAATCCATCAGAATTTCAAAAAAAGAAAGAATCATTTTTGAAAGACTAGCTTGAATTAATAATGTATGAAATCAATTTCTCTTTTTTTTATAGATGAATTATTATGGACATATTTTATTGAACGATTGTACAAATTTATCGTACTATTTTCCAATTTTTCAAAGAAGAAAAAGAAAATTTGATATACGAATGTTGTTTATTATTAAAAAGCTACTATCCCTTTTTGTAGTTCACCTATAAAAAAGAATCCAGAAAAAAAGATTCTATGGTATATATGTGTTCAAGAAATTTCTTTTAAACATGATTCTTTTTTGTGATTTTGATGAGTTACTAAACTCGATTCAATTTTATATCCAACAGGGTGTTCCCTTATTGCTGCTTTCTATTATTGAAAGTTGCAGATCACTAAGAGGTACTGTTTTTTTTTTAAATTATTCAATTTTTGTTCGAATACCTTTAAATCTATTGTTAACATGACTTTTCTTCAATAAATTTTTTTTCTCTTTAGAAATATGTTCGGTCGCCGAAATGATATAACTGTTCGTCTTCCATCATGTGTTGATGCTAATCATATACCTCATTATAATTTAAATCGAAGAGGTCAACATGCTATAACTCGAATATTAAGTGTATTTGCTTATTATCATCCTGATATAACATGGGCACCATTACTTGCACCCATGACAGCTTTATTTTTACATTATATGACAGAAATTGATGCGTATGAATCATTATTAATTCTTACAAGTAGTGATTACAAAATAATGACTGAAACAGAAATTCAATATCAATCATTATCATTAGCATTTCGTACATTATTACGTCGACATTGTCGTTCAGTTTATGAAGTTGTTAGTAAACAACCATGTCTATTTGATGAATGGCTTTGGATTATATTTGAACATTTACCATTTACATATCTTGTACCAATAATTGATTGTCTTTTAATTGAAGATATGAAAATTCTTATACGTATAAGTATGACATTATTTCATTTTTTTGTTAAATATGGTTCAAATCAACAAACAGTATCAATAAAACCTCGACGACGTGATTCAATATTTCGTTTATCAAAATCTGTTCGTAAGCCAGTACGTTTCGAAAATCAACTATCATCATCATCATTATCATCATCATATAAAACAAATACAAATGCTTGTGAAAATTTAATTAATTATATACAACATTTTGATTTACCGATGGAAAAATTTTTTAAACATGCTTTTGGTATTTCTCATTTACAACGAAAAGAAATTTTTCGAGCTATTGAGGTATGATTAGATATATCCATCAACGTGAAACATAAGTTTTTCTTTCAGGATTTCTAATTATAAGATGAATACCTTCTTGAAAAATCATTTTGTTGAGATTTCATAATCATTTTTATATGGGAAAAAGAATATAGGAAAACTACAGAGATTAGGCATTTATCGAACCGGAATCTTTTTTGAGTGCAACCATTTTCAAGTAATTGATAAAAGGCACCAGGTAGATCTACATACAATGAAATAGATGATTTAAAAACTGAAGGGCTACAAACATCCTAAAAGAAAATCAGCGCTGTTTAGAAATATTCGAGGTCGAACTTGATCAAACTTTGGAGTTCATCCATGATTGCTGGTATCTCTCAATAAACGTTCAGACAATCATCTAAATACTCAGAACTGACTGAAGAGTTCCTAAACTTGCATCAGAATTTAGATTCAGTACATACCTAATATAAATAAATAAATAGTAGCATCCACCCTTTTTCTTTTTAATGGAAATGAGACTTGAAGAAATTTTGAGATTTCTTTATCTATGTAAGTTCATGAGGTCAGTTGTTTTTTTTCTCAACTGATGGAAGTAAGAATTTGCAGAGCAAGCTTTTTTCATACCGTGTATCTTGACTGACGGAGAAAGCGTTTTCAAGTGATCAATTGCTTTTGAATTCGAACTCTATGTATAAAATAAACTTTAGTGATATATGAAAAAACTCTAAAGGATAAGTTCCTTTAGACCTTCTATCCAGAGTTATAGATATTTTGTTAGAATTATGGCCTCTGGCATCGTATACACTGACAAACCAAATGACGATATTTTAATGTAAGATTTTTGCCTATAGACAAGTCTATTTCTGAGTAGAATGTACTGAAAATTTTAGTTCAAAAGAATGTTTTCTTTTAGAGATATTAACGTCTTCGTAGAATGTGAGTAATTTTTAAGATTTTAATATGTTGAGAAGGAAGTATTCTTTTGAACTGAAATTTTCAGGACATTATACTCATAATTAGACTTGTCTGTGATTTAAAAATTCATAAAAAGCTCATACGAGGAACCGAAAAGATAAAATATCTCTACTGAATTCTGACTGAATGAGTTCATTTTTTTCTTACAGATAAAGGAAAGTTCCAAGTGTTTATTCATAAGCAAAAGTGAAAAATTCACAACAGAACAGGTTTGAATGTAACTGATTGAAAAGATCCTCATCCCTCGTACAAGTTTATTGAAAAAGATCAAAACTTTGACATCAAACTCTGTTGGCGTTCTTTGTATTAAGAAAAACTATACATATATCAAGAATTAACGTTAAATACTCAAAATGTGATGAAAATTTTTGTTTTTACAAAACTTTTAATCATCCTTTTTTTGTATTTTAATTAGATTGAAGAAGAAAAAATAAAATTAGAACGCCGTCGTGTAATGCCACTTCTTCGTCGTTCATCATCTGCAGGTGATCAACCTGCATTAAATCTCACATCAATTCCAAAATCTCTTACAAGTCGTCCAATTCATCATCAAAATTCTATGCCAATAATAATGATTCGTGAATTTGATACAACAACAGCAAGTCATTCAGATTTTGCTTATCTTTGGTCATTAATTCCAAGTCGTCTTACTGATTTTCAACCTGAACGTATTTATTCATCAAATATTCATGGTCGTCGTCTGCAAACATTATATGATCATGTTGAATATCATGAATATTGTCTTATTATTATACGTAATGAACATCAACAAATTTTCGGAGGTTTTTTTTTAGGTCAATTAGCTAATCGTACAAAAACACGAACATGGTTTGGTACAGGTGAATCATTTTTATTTACATTAAAACCAGAACGACAAGTATTCAGATGGGTTGGTTATCAATCATCAACAAAGGGTAGTACAAAAGCGTATGAAGATTATTTTATATATGGTGATGATGAACGTTTACAAATGGGTGGTAGTAAAGAACCACTTAATATTGGTTTATGCATTCAACGTGATTTAAATGAAGGTAGTACAAGACAATGTGATACATATGCTAATAAACCATTATCTAGCAGCGAACATTTTCAAATAATGGAAATCGAAGTATTTGGATTTACGCGATAAATCATTTTGTTTCGGATGTTTTATTTTAGACAACGTATGTTTAAAAAAAATACATCGCCGAGTAACGATCATGTTATTTTTTGAATAAATGTGAAAGAGAAATAATAATAATAAACCTTCCTCTTGCATTGTATAATTGTGTGAATTTATCAGATCTTTTTTTTTTTGATTTTTTTTTTACTATGAAATACTTGAGTCATTTTAGAAGATGATTCAGGTAATATGTGAAACATTCATTCTTAAATATTTTTGTATATAAAGAAAATAGATAAAAAAAAATGTATTTGAAATCATTTTTCATTTGTGATTCTTAATTGTAGATATGGGGTCATCTGCATATGGAATTCATACGTTCTTTAGCCTCATTATACTAATACAAACTGCGTTAAGAGAAAAATCTCTAGTAGACTAAAGTTGTTTTAGAAAGATAATTGATCAGCAGGGAAATGATATCTACCAACAAATGTTTCAAATTTATTTCACCGATTTTAAATCTAATATTCAATGCCATAAATGTAACTTAGAAAAAATTAAAAAAAAGAATTCTGTATTCAAAATAATATTTCTTCAATAGACTGATGAAAGATAAAACTTGAAATTTTGAATAGATGAAAAGAAAAGATGAACAAATAAAATATTATGAAAAGAAGATTAAAAATTGACTTTATTTCGTTTTTCGAAAATTATTCAGAATGACGTCTAAACTTGTTAAAGGAAAAAACTGATAGGACATGACTGAACTGTTTTAATTGTACAAGTAATCTAAATACAATAGCTTTATCGTTCGTTAACAGTCACGTCGAATCAACTCACTGAAAAGCAAATAAAGAAGTGTGTAAGTTATCAAATTACAAATAATATCCCTAAGCATGTTTAGTCAAATAGAGTCTGAAAGACAAAAAAAAAAGAACAGTTAATGTTCATCATAGATTCATTTCATTCATCGAATAAAATATGTGTAAAGTTCATCAACTGCTCATTTTTCTTTGCTTTTTACCTACTTTAACAAAGTCTGCAAATATTTCTTCATGTATTCCTAATACGCCTTGTAAATGTCTTTTAACTGAACATTCATTTACACTTACCAATTGTTTACATTCATTACCAGATTTACCAATATTTAATTCTAATATTTCAATAAATATAACAAAAATTATTGCTAAATATGCTTTAATTCGTTGGCCATTACATTTATGTACATATTCAAATATTGAAATACTTGATTTAAGTGGTTCATATTTTGATTCTCAACATATTAATTTATCATGTTTATCACAATTAATTTATTTAAATTTAAGTAATACACAAATGAAAAAAATTCCAAATTTTGAAAAATATTCATTAAAACATCTACGAATACTTGATATATCAAATAATCAAATAGAAATTCTTGACGGTAGTCTTTTTCGTTCATTAAATAATTTAACTGTATTAATTATACAAAATAATCCATTAAAAAAAATTGATTATTTCGAATATCTACTTAATTTATCACGTCTTGAATTTATTAATTTAATATCATCGAGTTCAACTATGACTATAAAAAACTCATTAACTGTAACACAATGGATTGATCTTGCTCATAAATGGAGTAATTCAAATAAAAAAATTGTTATTCGTACAAATACATTTTCATTACAATCAATCTTACCGAATTCTGATCAATTTCAATTAATTTCATTAGATTTCATGAAAATTATTTTAAAAACATTATCAAATTCAACATTTACAACTTTATTTTCTACACCAAAATGTCATTGTTCTCATCTTCGAAATTATCAACGTGTATTTTCTTTTAATAATTATCATAAAAATTTATCATCATTATTTCAATCAACAACTTGTCTTATGCCAAATGGAATTATTCATGCACGTCTATTTGATCATCGAACATTTACTGATTTAAATTGTTCATTAATGGGGAAAAACATGCGTTATCCTAGTGTTCAAAATTCATGTTCATTTTTAGACTATCATCTATTTATTCATTTTTTAATATTTTATTTGTTTTTATCTTATCAAAAATAGGGATTAAAAAAATTATTAAAGGGGGCATTATAACCATAGTTTTGTCCATATGATGGATATGGAGCATATGAGGGCGGAGGAGGAAATTGATTATTAAAAAAATTTGGACCATTATTCATAAATTGATCAAAACCTGGGTAACCACCACGAGAATTAACTAAAAAAAACCGAGATAATTCACTGAATATCTGTTTTGCTTTAAATACTTACAATAATTATCTTCTCGAAATCGATCATAAGGTGAATGAGGAAAATTTTCAGCACCAAGATAGTCTAATAATAATAATTTTTTTTTTTTTTGTTTTGAGTAAAATTATTTTAAATATTTACCTCTGGATGGCTCACGATATCTATCATTAGCGTTATTTTGCCAATAATTATATCCTAATAATAAATTCAAATTACAGAAAAAGAAAAGAACATAATAAACAAACCTCCATAACCTTGATTTGGAACCCAAGGATGATCAAAACCTCCATTTTGCCGCCCGTAATTACGACCATCACTATCAGAATCATCATCATAAGAATCATCATTTTCATCAAAAGTTTCAATAACGTGATCATCATCATTGAAACTATTATTAAAACTATTATTTCTACCACCAAGTATATAATCAGTCATATCATAAACATCCCAATGTTCTCGACCAAAATTATCCGTAGATATTTGACGAATAGTCCACACATCAAAACATAAATTAGGATTTGTTAAATATTCATAAGGAATATAACAATACCCATTTTCACCCTAAAATATTTTTTGTTGTTTTATTTTCTTCAAAATGAAATTTAACATAATTCTTACCCAATGTTCTCCCCATGAATTTCGTACAATAAACGCTTTTGATTGATCACTATAACCAACAGCTAATAATGCATGACTATAAACAAAAGAAAACATAAAAGTAAATTCTTTTTCTCGGATAACAATTCTATATAAACCTTGCATCTTTTTTTCGTCTATTTTCTCCTACTTTTGGCATTGGTACAACACCTGTTGTAGCTGCATTATCAAATGAAGCATATAATCTTAAACCAAATGCAAATGGAAAACCTTGTGCAAGACAAGATTTCATTTCATATAAATTAGCATTAATTCGAAATGCTTCTGTAATTCTATGATTTCTAGCTTCTCTATAAGCTTGATCATGTGGTCGTGCATTGATTCGAGAAATATCATATGGCCAAGTTGATTCAAGACAAGTACCAAATTCTTCTAATGCTTCAATAGCACTTGTCATTGTACAACCTGTATCTACAACTTTTTGGGTTTTTTGATCTTTTACACGAGCATTATAATAAATAAATAAGCGACTAAAATCAGTATCAAGACCATTAGCTTTCTTTATTAAATATTCGTAAGCTCCTAAAAATAAATGGTATCAATACATATTAAGAAGAAATTCATTCTCTTACCAGCAAGACAATTAGCTGCACTAAATAGATGAATCAAAAAATAAATTTATTATTATTTATATGTTAAAGATTTATTTACCAACTAGCAGTTTTTGATTGATCTTCAACGGGCGTCATATAGGATCGAAGATCAACTTTTGGTGGAAGTTGATCAGCTGCGTAGAGTATATGATCACAAAATGCTTGACATAATTCGCTTTTCTTTGGCAAACGTGATGATGGTACAAGACCATTAAGACGAAATCTTTTTAAATTAAGTTTATTAGTCAAAAAGGTTTTCAATGGCATTGTGTTATTCTTTTTTTAAGTAATCGATTTTCAATCAAAACTAGAAAGAAAAAAATCCGATACAAATATATTATTGAATTTTTAACATTCGTTTTTTTTATTACTTACTTTAATTGTAATACTTTTCCAAATATTACTGCAAACTTTGTCGATTTATATAACAAACAATGTATCGATAGCTTGTCTTGAATTGACTGATTCATATGCAGAGGTGTATATCAATAGTGTTTATTTTTCTTTTCGACAGAAACGATATTATTCATACTTTTATATTAGGTCACATCGGATGTTTTTGTACTCATTAGAAACCGATACGTAATGAAAAAATACAATGATTCATAAAGAATGTGGTTGTTATTTACAAAAACTAAGTATGGATGAATGAGTAAACAAGCTTAATACAAAACTAGGCTTACTCATCATGAACTTCTACAAGATTAAATAATTTTTTTATAGAAAAAATAATAAAAATTATATTGAGATGGTTCAGTTCCATTCCGTCGACTAATTAAGAACAATTAGAGAAATTTCTCGGTTGGTTGATTAGTTAAGATTCAATTAATTAATCACATAATGAATATTCGTATTTTTTAGAAACTGATCGAGCACTATAGTGTCGGTGTTTATTAGTCAGATGGTTGTGGTCTTCCACTTCGCTCATATCTGCCTCAATTCGAATAAACAAAGAAAGAAAGGAATCTCTTTTGTGTTGGGTTCTTTTATCATCATCATCATTCATCGATTTCATCTGTTCAAAGTTATCTTCTCTAACCATCTTACCAATATATTCTTAGTCATTTGAATCATTACATATAAAGCACGAGTAGTGATTCATAGACATAAAAGAGCGATTGAATTAAATTGCAAAATTGATAATGAATATTGTCAGTAGAATTATTTCAATAAATTCATCTTAGCTTATACCATGGTTATCTTTTATCAAATTCTTTCGACCATAGTTCGATAGAACACTGTTAATTCAGCTATCATCATCGTCTGACGTCGTTATCATGTCATTAGTCTTAAGTTGCAGCAAACCATTTGAAAGATGCTATTGATTTTTATAATCTTTTATTATGAACAATAATTGGATTTACTTGATCAATATGTAAACAATGATCAACGACGAATTCTTATTGAATGAAAATCAAAATAAGATCTGTGATGATTGTTACTACAATTTCGCGCTTTGCGGCCTAATGAAATATAGATACATAGATCAGTTTTCTTCAAGTTATCTATCAAACATCAGTAATAATTTATATTATCAATACATAAAAATAGAAAAATTTCATTGTTTACTGACCACTATTATTAAAATTGAGCTTCCAACAATATCATTTTCAATCAAAAGTGGACTATTAATGAAAATAATATATATTCATTGAGCACATGATCGACAAAATGATGATGATACGATACTTTCATCTCAAGTACATTCATTCAAACGAAATGTTTTATTACGATGTTAAATTGTCATAAATATATATAAGACAATAGGTCATTATTAAATTTTAAAATTGCTAATATTTTTGTCTCTTTCTTCTCATAATATTGAGTCAATATACGGTTTCGTATTACTCTTTTTTTTCTACGCATTGATTCACTAATCAGTGAGTGATACTTATCATTCATATGAATTTCTTTTCATTTTATCAAACTATTATATATATATAGATCGACATTCATATATTTTATTTATTTTTCAATACATACATCAAGATGATTGTTTAAAAATATTCAGTAATTCAAGATAAGTTGACCAATTTTGCATATTTAAATCTTAATAATCTTTTGAACTATTTAAATTAGTAGTTGACTTAGGGATGGGCGAGTCTGAGTCATGACTCTGACTCGAGTCACATTTTTTGATTGGCTCTGACTCGAAAATCGAGTGGTGTTGATTCAACTACTTGACTCGAGTTATCCCGAGTCATTTATTCAAAAACGTTTTCATTTACTCTCAAAAAAACGAAAACCTTGATTTGCAAGATGAGACTCACTTATTTAGAAATTTCGTCCTAATTGAATACATTCTATCTGAATAATTTTTTCAAGAGATTTTTTCGATTTATACATTCATGTGAACATAAATAATAGTCTATGTGTATTGTCGAATATGTGCATTTTTTCTCGCATTCTGGTTGCCACTGATCTCTGAAGAGATGTGTATGTGCTTCCAATAAAGTAAATGAAAACTTTGCATTCCATCACGTGCCATATTCTTTATCATGCTACAATATAATTGTTGTGTGATAGCATTTTGATAACCAAAATGTCCCATCATTCATTGCACATTATCTATTTCTCAACAGATGATGTGAATGTGTGATCTGCATCTCATTCACATCCATCTTATTTGAAAAAAAGATTAATATCAATCTCCTAATAAGCTTGCTAAAATATATATTTCAGCTCCTGATATATAAACATCAGATGAACATGTGTTTTATCAAAGTGATCTTTCAATAAGATCGAATTTTTCATGTTTTACAAAAGATAATGTTCTTACTCTAACGTCTTTTAAGTACAATAAGACATTTAATTTAAATGGTCATAAATAATTTTTGCTTGTAAACATGTTTAAAGTTAGGTTTTTGCTTAGACAAACATTATATTTTTTTTTACTGTGGTATACCGCTGTGTAAAACAGAAGAGTTGATTTCACTGTTCTTATTTTGTTGATTAGTGTAGATTGGTTGTGTGATTTTTTTTATGTATAACTTATTTGGTTTTTGCGCGTAAAACTTGGAACTACATCTCATGTTTTGAAAAACTTGTTGTTGATGTTCTTTATAAACATAAGCAGAGAGCGAAAAAATGACAAAAACAGCTTGATTTGACTCGACTCGAAAAATGGCTTGACTCGCCCATCTGTGATTTGACTATGAGACAATTGTCTACGAAACAGTTACAAGCTTTTGAAGTTTGATTCGATTTATATCATTATACAACATAATTCTTGAATATTTATTAGTATTTCTATATGCATTTAACCAAATTTCCTACCTTGAACCAATTGAACTTGTAGGAATAATACACAAAGATCTCAGTATAGTGGAGTAAATCTTAATAAGTGTACGAAATGAGACAACCCTTGTTGACCAGCAGTAGTGAAGAAGTTTAATCAATATTGATGAACCGAAGTAGTACCTTTTACTCGTCTTTTACTTTGTCGGCACTAAATCTTCAACAATTTTGCAGAGACTTGCCTAGAAAATATTTATCAACTATACGATCTCCATATTTTCCAGTTACTAAAAAGCAATATCAATAAAAAAAACTGTGTTTTTATGTGAGCTTATGTTTTTTTCTATGACAAAAGTCAACGGTAGACACAAAGCCTTTTATGACCACGAATGAAAACGTTAAGCTGGTTTATGCATACGTTGATTCTGACAAGAATTATGAATCGTTCAAGTTGAAAACAATATTGCTGATTTTACCTTTGAATATTAGTTTTCTCGAAGAACTAATTGCCTATTGAATTGAAATTTTTTTTAACTTGTCGATTTCAATGAGTGGTCTTAATCATCTGAAAGTTTCGGTTCAAAATGATAAGAATGTAAGATAAATGAAAACTTCCAAAATTTTTTTTCAAACTTTGTAGCTTTTCATATTTCACTGGTTGATTATATTTAGTTCTATGACTAAAAATTAACAAAAAAGTCTAAATTGAAACAATATTTTTGTTGCAATAACTACATAGAATGAATCTGGACTGATTACATGAAGATGTATCGAAGTAAATTTCATTTGACTTCGATACAAACTTTGGTCATTCTTCGAAAGACTTGAGAATCAGTATCAATAATAAACACTTTTGAACCATTCATATCATATCATATCATAAGCAAGGGATTCTAAATGGATGAGAGTGCTTCTTCGCGCAAGATCAACATCAATTTCATCGAGAAGAGTTCCTTTGTAAAATTTTACTAATGATTACTTTTTGCCGTTCGTTGAAGAACACAACAAGAATCTAAATTGTGAAAATTATTTTTCAAGATATTTCCAGTCGTGTGCACCCTTTCATTGGCTCTTCAATACTTTTCTGATGTGAAAGCCTAAATTCACTATCGAAAGGAAAAAGTATCTTATATGAAGGCAATAGAAAGCATGGGACATTTATAACACCAGTATTGAACTTACTGTATGGGTGTAGGATGTGGGTACAGATGTCGATGTATAGGAAGAGGAGTGCAAGAACACCCACATCCAAACGAGTCGAGAAAATTTTCAAACTTTTATATATTTTCACATATTCCGGATTTGAGATTTGCAAATATTTCAGCGTCTACTTTATATGCACTACTTTTTGATGCAAGTTGCATCGTAAGAAGGCTTCAGTACAATTCATTTTCATGTGTTCAAACATTCTTATCAGAAATAATATGTCTTACTGTGATTCTTTATTTGGATTTCTTCAAGTAATCAATATGCGATTCAATTTTGTTGTTTTTTCTTGTCGTTTTTGTTTATTTTAAAAGACAAAGCGCAATCAATATATGAATCATATTAAAATGAGTTTTATACTATCGAAAAAGTTTCATTATACGTGTACTTCAATTAAATTACTGTGGATGGAAGTTGCATTACTAAAACTCGAATATTTGCTTATACTTTTTCGTGGCCGATGACGTGTTGCTAGTTTATATTGGACTGTTGATGTAAAATCATCATTCTTTGTTAAATCATAAAATAAATCAGGAGTTGATGATGAATCAATGCTGAGTAATTGGTAACGAAGACCAAATTCAAGAACAAGAAAACGAATCAAAACAACACGAATAATTGAACGAATGATCCATGTCAGTAATGCACAGATGAAAAGACTTGCAAGAGCAATACCAACAATAGCACTAATAGACAATGAATTTGTTGATCGAACAGTTCTGGTTGAAGTCATTGTTATGGATGTTGTTTTCGTTGTTGTTGTTGAGGTACTTGTTGATGCAGTTGTACTCGACGTTCCGAGAGTTCTACGCGTTGGTATCTGTAAACCGATAGATACTTTTATATTAGAAATAAATTATATTTTCTCTTGCTATCATATCAAAGTACTGATAATATTTTCGAAATATTGATTAACATTTGAAGTCAGTTTTACAAAAGTCAAGAATAAATCAATTTCTACTCATTTCAAATCTTTCTTTCTATTAAATAAGAATTAATACACAACATATTCTTTTTAGAAATATCCAATAATTTATAATAAAATTTTATTGCTATTCACAGTTTATGGTAATGAGATTCAACCATTAGATATTTACAATGGAACTTTTCGAAAAAACTATTCTTATTTATAAAAAAAAATATGGACTGTAATAAATCACAAATTCATAAAAAGACAAGAAGAGAGCTTCGTAGTTTAAATTCATTTCTAAAATATTAGTCTTATTAATCTGATATATGACTTCTATGAAGTTACATCTCAACTCATAGAATTAATAAAAACAAGTTAATTGCGCTTTACAATCCAATTTTTAATGAATGGCAAAAGTATAATATGAAACTATATTTACTGTTCGTGCTGTCGTTGTTGTTGATATAGATGTTGTTGTTGTTGAACCTAAATAATAATATCCATTCACATTCATATTGCTGCAATACAAATGATCTAATTACTTGTGCTTGTTGTTGTCGTCTCATATGGTATGTCAAATGGCCAAAAATTCCGATCACTTATCGGCATTGATTCTTTCGAACATGTATTAGCTTCTGCCAATACACCAGCATCAAAATAAATATAAAAATGTTCACTTGGAGTCCATACAACTGTTGAATTGATGACAATACGGTCACTTGAATAAAGAACATTGTCAATTGCAGTCATAGCATTTAATACATAAAAATCAAGATCATCTGAAGTTCTTTTGAATCGAATATATGTTTCTGTTGTTGGACGTTGATAAACTCTTGTTCCAGTGAGAATAGTCCATATTGAAGTTGTTTTCGAGACTGTTCCAGTTGGATATCGAGTAGCATTCAATCTGTATAATGGTTGAAGACTAGATGTTTGTGATGATACAGCAAAACGAAGACAGGTTGAATCTCCTTGATTTCCAATTGAATCAACAGCAGAAAAACAAAAGAGATTTTGTCCTACTTGTTGAGCATTTGTTGTAAAATTAGCAAGAAAAGCAAAAATCGTAGGATCAAATGGATCTTGTTGAATAGGTGTAGTTAATAAACCAGTTGGATTAGCACTAATGATACTATCAACAGTGGCATTAGTACATTGAACTTTGAAACGAACACGAGTAGTATAAGTGACACCTACTGAGAGATAAATACAAATATCTGGTACGAGATCACCAATATAGATCGGTCCAGTAACACAAGGATATGATGAATTGTAAACATGAAATACGAATTGAATAGGTATTTGCGAAAGATAATTAATTGATGAGATATTCGTCGGTAGTATTATGAAATCTTCTACTGTCAGAGCAGCCGCATAATACCCAACAGTAGTTGGTGTAAAGTTTAAATAACACCCATAATTATCAACGGTACTACCAGGTACACTATTACTAAGTCCACCACATTGTGTAGAACCTTTACACCAAAGACAAATATATGGATCAAAATCATTATCAGCCACATTGATTTTGATATAATAACTGATTTTATTTCTTAATCGATAGATCGGTAACATGGTAATAATAGGTGCATTGTTATACCAGCCAGTATCAACTCTTTTAAAGGTTTGAATTTGAACAGCAACACTCCATCCCAAATTGTTTCCTGTAACAAGATTAAACCAAGCCGAGTTATTAAACGTGGCCACAAAACTGGAATTTCGTCGAATATTTAATGTATAACGACCTTCACCCATTGCATATTGTTCGCCTATATTATAACCTGTACAAGGAACTAGAACGCTTCCAAGTGTTGTTAAACCTGTTGGACAATTACTCACACAAATAATTTTGTAACTACTAGCACCTAATACAGGTTCTCCATTTGCAATAGTTGTTTCATTACAGAGTGGAGTATAAGCGTCGTATCGCCAAGCATGACGTTGAAGAATTTCAACAAGAACGGTTGAAGATGATTCATTGATCATACGCCAAGATATCATAGAACCACGAAAATGGGTTCCTTGTATAACATTGGACATATAAAGCATAGCAAAGAATACTGTATATATATGTTTATGATGCATACTTCTTGAAACATATGAATGATAAAAAGTTTAAGTCGAGCATCAAACAACTACGACTGACTGCATGAAACTACTCTGACTGGAAAAGAAAATGGTATTTTATTTAATAACAGCAAATAAAAAACAATAGCAAACATAAATATGTAGGTTTTCGATATGAATTTCTATTGTTCTTGCAACAGAAGAATATATTACTTTCAAGTTTGCTCTTTCTCTTATTGACGTATATTTGTCTTCATTTTTTTTCATAATATTTAAATATTGCGCTTATGAATACATGAGATATTGTACAGAAGAAAATCCATTCATTCTGTATTATTGCACGGTTGTGTTCTATTTGATAATGTTTGTTTAAAGTAAAACCATTGATTTCAATCGATATGCAAATGTCAAAAACTAATATAAACAACAACGATATTCCACACTCAGCGTGCAGTTTATACCAAACAAGGTCTAAGAAATATGTCATAGATATTTCCCATGTTTGAAGAAAATCTAACATGTGATATGCTTAATTTCTTCGATGTTTTTAGTTTCTCAATATTTTGATTGCTAAATCTTCGAAAAGCAAATTGTGCAGAAGTCAATTTTTCTGGTCACCAATCCAATGGATTCATTAATATTCATGAGAGAGAAAAAATTTAAATATAAATATATATACATTAATTCTCTCGTTTGAATTAGATTTCAATCACAAACATCGACTAATAAAATATAATTCATCCTGACGTAATTTTCTTTTATAATTAATCCTTCATAATCTCCCGATACCGAATATTTCCGTTATTTATTTGCAAAATAGATAAACAAATAAATTTTCCTATTATTTTTCATCGAAATAAGTCCAATTGATTAAAAGAAAATAGTAAAATGAATTTAATACCATGTCTACTAGTCATAGTATGATAGCAGCTTTGACTCGGCAGGTATCAAGTAGCTTGAGACTTTCTCGTCTAAATAAAAAAGAATTTCATAAATATCGAACTTAAGAGTAGCGCTTGAGTTCTGGATCTCATCAATCTAACAGCTAAAAGAAATATCTTATTAACTATTATGTATTTGTTTTTCATCAGTAATTATCACTTTGGCAAGTCTATGAAAAATTTTATAAATCATTTTTTTTGTAATTTTCACAAGTTTTTTTTTTATCTCATTCTTTGTTCAATATATTTTTTAGTTGTTCGAAACTTGAGAGCTCTTCTCCTCGCGCCGTCTCTATTAATATTCTTCATAGATTTTCGATGGGCTACATATCTGCAAATTTTACATCTCATCTTCAGGTGTAACTCTTGTAGTAAATAATCCATCAATACTTCGTAATGCAATTGTTATTTCATGCTTTGAATCTTGATCATCTTGATTGGGTGTATCTGATGAATCACCAATGGTTCAGTATATTCTTTTTTGAAATAACTCAAATAAAACAAAATACTGGTAGACATTCGTAGTGGCAGGCAACAACAGAATGTGCCTTCTGATAATACTCAACTTAACCAATTTCTATCGACACATCTTCGATCACATTAATATAAACATTATTTATAATATCATCTCATGAATGTTTAGATAAACACTGGGCAATTTTCATCTGTACCATGAAACCAATTTCACATGCGATAACAGGTAAAACAGTCGATCGGTTATCAAAAGGCGCAGGTACGATTTCTGTTCTGGCTTAATGATTTTTCTTAACAGGTTGTTCATGCTTGCCAAGGTATTTCGACGTGAATACATTTGTTTGGACTCATATGTATTTGCGTCGACAAATGATGTAATTACTTATAGCTACACTTTTTAATTTTATTTTTGATAGTCACATCTATCCCACACAGGGTTACCGATTATTTTGGGGAGTAGGGGGTAGGGGCTAAAAAATTTGATAGAAAGTCGACTTTTTTGCAAAGAAGTATGAAGCTACTACTAAAAATCACAAGTTCGTTTTTAGTGACTAAGACTAGTATCGGAATTGTAAAAGAACGCAGGTGGAAAAAAGCCCATAACTTTCGAGCGAAAAGTCATACTGATCTGCGGTTTTCATCATTCGACAGACAACAGCATCGAGCACAAGTCTATGCGTTGGAAAACGTTTTCTCAAAGTATTTTTCTAGATTAATTTTTTTGTACGAGTAATTAGTGGAAAATTAACGCCTTTCCAGAAGAAATTTTTTTCATTAGCTTTGTGGCTCACAATATCCTCTTCAAAATGGAATCTAAGCAATTTCGAGACTTTGCTTCCTCGAAACGCTAGAGGCTTGTTAAGAGAGCGAGTATACATAAGACACTTTTCACTAAAAAACAGAAAAAGCCGTTCAAAATATAGGTTTCCGACTATGCTGATCAACATGAAACGGTTTATTCTCTTGAAAGTCTAGAGTCTTAAAGTATTTTGTCTCTTTCTCTATACGTTGGTCTGTCAGTGAGCAACACTAGGATGGAAAAAGGAAAGAAAGAAAGAAAAAATATATATATATACGAGGTCGTTCTCTTCGTTATCTTTTCTTAGCTTTTTTTTTTTGCAATATATATCACACAGTCGAGGATACACAATTACCTTTACACAATGTGATGCTCTTGTTTGAGATCAGATAGTTCTTTTCTTTTGTACAGAACTCCATGAAGTAGAGTTCGGAAAGTTTCATTCAAATGACTGTGCAAGCTTGTTTTTCCCCTTTTCATCATTCCAACCATTTCTCTAAATCACTTCGTTTTTAAATAAATATATGTCATCTGTTTTAGATAATCTCTTTATTCACAATGCCGAAAGGCCACGAGTTTTCATAAGAATTACAACAATTAATGTTTCACGTCATTAATTTTGTTGAAAGTGAGAAAAATGGCCCAGTCATTCCTCTTAACAATTCAATGTGGAAGATCGTCTTGTGAAAATGTTAGATATTTCTAGAAGACCTGTCTACAGATTAAAACATGAATTAAAGCAGTTAAGACAGCAAGACACAGAACAACAATCATAATACATAGCAATAGCCGGCAGAGAAAAAGTTTAGAGAACTTCGTAGTCGCACCATATCACAAACAACTTTCAAACATTGTGAATGTTCAGCATCTGTTCCGCCTGTCAAAATTCCTCGTTGTCGACACACTGATTCTTCTGCTTCTTCATTAATAGCCCATATCGCTCTTCCTATTTTCTAGGCACTGTCTTCTCATCAGAAAGGTGAAAGAGATTTATTCATTCACTTGAGCAGCATGAAAGTCAATTCTTTTCTCTCTAATGCTTTCTGAACACCTAAGGATCATTTTATCCGAGCAAGGAAAAGATTTGATTAAGCTTCAATTGCATAAATTAATTTAAGGAAAAGGTTATCCGACCTCTGTCAAATTATTGAAGAGGTTAGAAGAAAAATATGAAGATTTTTCTATTCATTAAACAAGTACTTTACACAAAGAAATACAATATGCAAGTGAAGTGTTTGTTTTGAGATAGACAATAAAGAAGGGAAGGTGCCACACTACTCTTTTTTTTCATTCCTTAGCTTGGTATTACTTATCAGCAAACATCAAAAATAAATGTTGCGTTGGATTCACAGACTTTTATGCCACCAAGAGCAAAACATTTGCAGCCTCTTGAAGACTTGAGGAAAGCAAAGGTTCATCTATATTATCATGAAGAAGCATGGATGAATCTTCAAGAAGCTAAAACATCAATTCCGACTTTGAAAGGTGAAGAAAAAATTAAACAAGGAGAAGAAAGAGGTAAGTTGCCAGTCACTCATAAATTATCCTCTCACTTACCAGTATCTCTCTCTTTGCTAGGATCTCGTTTGACGGTGTTGGCATTTATAAGTGTCAACGATTATCATATTCCATCAGTTCATATTTGGGCGTGCACTGAAGAGCATAATATGGATTCAACACATTTTCTCTCGCCATCAGTTTCAACTTGTGCAACGTTAAGAGAGGAGATTGGTGAGTTGACGCATTCTAAGCCGAATTTTTCATTGATAATCTCTGACTTTTTCTTTGTAGGTGACAAAGAAAGGATTGCTATTTGTTTGGATAATGCAACTTGGCACAACATAGTCACGGGCGAATCAATTATTTCTAAAACGTGCTTCACCAAAATGAAAAATTCAAAAGTGGCTGAAAGATCAGAAAATTAAATTTCCAGAAAAGTTTGTTAAAGCTCAATTTTTGGAACTGATGTCTGGAAATGGTCCACCGAAAGAATATATTGTAATTCATTTTTTAAAGAGTTTATTTGAGCTTTTCGAATCCTGCTATTTCTCTTTGTTTCGTTGAATAGAGTGATCATATTGCAAAGAAATATGCTATAGAAATTCTTCGTCTTCCTAAACTTCACTGTAGTCTCAATCCAATTGGATTATCAGGAAATAATCTCAAACAATTTGTTCATGATCAAAACACAACATTTCGTCAGAATGATGTAAAACAATTGATTAAACAGTTCATAGTGGCAATGGGCAACAAACGTGCAAGTTCATACTTTCATCATATTCGTGAAATAGAACAAACATTTAATATCATAGACGCCATTATGGAAGAAGAAATTAAATCAGATATACAACCTGATATTGAAGAAAGAGACTCTGGTGATGATCAGGATAATGTAGAATAGCAATTTTTTGTATTTGTAAATGTTTTGATTCCACTAATTTTGTCAATAAGAAATGGAAGTTCTTTTGTGAAAATAAATTCATGAAAAACAGAAATGAAATAAGATCGAGCAATCTGTGAGAGAATACCACTTTCTTTCTTGACAAAACTTTAAAATGAGCATTCTTATGCGCTTGTACCCATGAGTTCGACATAAAATCACACTTTAATGCCAGAATAAGCACTTTTACCTTGATCAACATAGTCGGAAACCTATATTTTGAACGGTTTTTTCTGTTTTTTAGTTAAAAGCGTCTTATGTGTGCTCGCTCTCTTAACAAGCCTCTAGCGTTTCGAGGAAGCAAAATCTCGAAATTGCTTAGATTCCATTTGGAAGAGGATATTTTAGGCGACACAGCTAGTGAAAAAGATTTCTTCTAGAAAGTCATTAATTTTCCCCTAATTACGCCTAGTAAGATTAGCCTATAAAAGTACTTTGAGAAAACGTTTTTCAACACAGGCTTGTGTTCGACACCGTCCTCTATCGAATGATGAAAACCGCAGGTCGCTATCACTTTTCATTCGAAAGTTATATACTTTTTTCCACGTGCGTTCTTTTACAACTCCGATACACTGTAAAAAAAAAAAAGGAACTGTACGGAACCTCAAAAAAAGGTTCGATAGATGACAAAAAGCTTGCAAATGTGTTCAAAGTTTCAAAAAAAGAATACAAAAATACACAGAACCTTTAAAGGATCTTACCGTGTACCCAAGTGAAGATCCTTTTTTTCTTCGAAACCTTTTTAAGTTCCGTAGNGCGGGACAAACTTTTTTTGTGTCCCGTCCCGAATTTTTTTTTAAATAGTCCCGATCCCGAATGTCCCGTCCCGAAGTTTTTCAAATTGTCCCGTAAAGTCCCGTTTGTCCCGTTCATCAGAAAAAAATATAAAGATGTGACTCTGTCGAAGAAGACAACATGTATTTTCTTTACCATCAATAGGAAAAACGGAACAAGTCAAGTTTATGTGAACATCTTAGTTTTTGCGACTACTTGACTGCTACGGTTTTATTATGCACAGAAAACGATAACACAACCAAAAATACCCGACGGTCATCCATCTGGACTCCATTTTAGATCATTAGAAACTTTCAAAAGTGTTCGGTCTCCCTTACCTAATTTAAATAGAAAATTTAAGCGAAATTTCCATAGAATAAGAAAGTTTTATTATAAATAAAAAATAAGTCAAAAGAGCAAAACAAAAACTGTGCATTTAATACTGTATAAATATGAATGAATGATCCAATAATATATCATGATAAGTAGATAAGAAATTGATTTATTCAAACACAATAACAAATACACATCGTAAAAGAACATCAATTGAAGTCATTATGCTCTGCTTCTTCATTCTCAATTTCATAGAATTTCAACTGATTCAACACCATCAACAACACCAAATAAAAAAATCAAATTAATGACAGAGACTCAGGAAGTCGATGGAGCAACAACCGACGAAGATAATGACGATAAACAACTTTAGGCAAGTCTCTCAGTATTTCTTTTTTCTCTACTATTTGTTGAAAATATTAACATGTTTGTTAGAAATAAAAAGATTAAAGTGTACGACACGTTTTTATATATGGATAAAAATATTCGGGACATAGGTTTTTTTCTATATTGTCCCGGTCCCGTTTGTTCCGTCCAGAAAAATTTTCGGGACAATCCCGATTGTCCCGCGGGACGGGACAAACGGGATTTTTCGGGATTCGGGACTGTCCCGCAGTACTCTACTATTAGGATTTGTAGGTGAAAAAATTTCAGCGAAACTGCTTAGATGAGAGTGTGGAAAACCAACGCTTATAAAACTAGCTTTCTGGCTTCCATTCGAACCTTTTCGGCTAACATTTTATTTGTCAGAATGAATGATTCGTCTTCAGACTTGCTTCGTTGAATTGAATCCAACCCATAGAATGCCCCAGAAACACCCCATGTAAAAAAAATAGCCTGGAAATCGGATTAAAATCGATTTTCAAGAGAAAAATCGATTAAAAGTGGCGAATTCTGATTAAATTCGAGTCGAGAATTGATTATACTGAGTAAAAATCCATTAAAATCGATTTTTTTTGAGAAATCTAAATAATCGATTATTTTTGAAATCGATTAAAGTCGATTTTTTTTCTGAGAAATCTAAATAATCGATTATTTCAATCGATAAAAATCGATTTTTTTTTCTGTAAAATCTGAATAATCGATTTTGCTCGATTTTAATCGATTTTGGCCGGTTTTAATGGATTTTAATCGATTAATGAAGTAATTGCGCAATCCCAATTGAAACAGTTTATATACCAGTTCCAATTTTAATGTATTTGTCGAGTTTCAGCCTCATAGTTTATGTCAGCGGGGAATCCAAAAAAATATGAAAAAATTAGGGTTCCGCGTTCGAGTCTCGAGAAAAGCACATATCTCCGATGAATATGATTAAAATCGATTATCAGGTAAGAATCGATTAAAATCGATTATCAAGTAAGAATCGATTAAAAGCGATTATCAAGTAGAAGTAGGTTACAACCCATGTAAAAAAAAATGACGGGAAAAATCAGATTTTAATCGATTTTTTTCTGATTAATAATCGATTAAAATGGCACGATTTTAATCCGATTTTTAATCAGATAAAATCGATTACGCAGTGAAAAATCCTCAAAAATCGATTTCTATGATTAAAAATCTGATTAAAATCGTGCCATTTTAATCGATTATTAATCAGAAAAAAATCGATTAAAATCTGATTTTTCCCGTCATTTTTTTACATGGGATCTCTCTCTCTCTCTCTCTCTCTCTCTTTTTATTGATAATTTCAATGTCTTTGCCATGTTTGACGCTTTAAAAGCTTCTGTAAATTGAATTTAGTTCGATGAAAAAAGATCGGAGACGAACTATTTGCATTATCAAATAAAATCTTTTCCCAAAAGCTTCAAATGGAAGTCACAGTCTTGGTTTTCTGCAGACACTCACCAAACAATTGTGTTGGAGTCTTCGGACCTACCAATCCTAATAGAGAATCCTTTTAGCTATACAATTGTTTTTTTGAGTATCTTGCTAGCTACTACAGGTGTGAACGCGATAGAAATGTTCATGAAAGGAGCTAAAAGGAAGCAGTAAGATGGAAACACCACCACGTAGATCTTAGTCACTATTCAAATTACTATTTGGACTCTTTGTGCGAGTTACCATTGTGGAAAAGCGAAACTAAATCGATTTTTGGAGACACTGTATATCAATCTGTAATTATGAGCTCAATGTTAATTGGAAATTTATCGTAGTATTTTGCAAACTAAAAATCTTTGAGAAGAAAAAATCACCTACTGGCATGAAACAAAAAATCAAAACGATCAAGATATACAAATGATTTTTATTCGAGACATTTTTTATGATTACTAAATATATTTAGTAAAGTATAGCCTACACAAAAATTTTGTTTAAATGAATATGTATAACTGTACAACAAAAAGCTTAAACTCGAAAGTTCAACAATAAATAATTCTATATTTTAATAGTTATATAACAATAGGAAAATTGAAGGTTGAATTTGAAATAAATGAAGCACATTTATTTTCTATGCAACACAGTAACACTTGTTTTTTTCTTTCTTTCTAAATCATTATTATGTTATATGCAACAATGATCTCATGATTGGTAATAATTCATTCGTGTCGTTTGGTGATAATACTTTTCGTAAATTAAGTCGAAGTTGTTTTTCAAGTGTTTGCCAAGATATAAAATGAACAATAAGGTCAATAAATATATATGTAGATTTTTCAATACCATGTATTGTTTCCATATATCTCCATAATAAATCTGTATAATAACTTTGTGCACGATATACAGCCATACTATCATTAAGAATTGGTTCATCGATAACAGAATCTGCTGAACAACCTTTTGTTAATATAAATATTATAAGTGCTAATTGAATTATTCTTTGATCATAGTTTGCAATCCGCACAAATGAATTAAAAATTTTTTGAATTTGCATATAAATTTCATTCCCATGAATTTTTTCTAACATACTTGAATTCCATGGTACATCAGAATCAGTTTCCACGATTTCACCAGTATCTGCTTTATATGATAATGTACCATCAAGCATAATCAATGGTAAAAGATTATATTTAATTAAAGTAACTTTATCATCAACATTTAATTCATTAAATTCAGGTATTTGTTTGAAAAATGTTAAAAGACGCATTATTGGTACTGAACGAGAATTTATATGCTGCAATAAAGTTGTTGCATATATAGATGGATCCCATGGAAGACCATACCGAGCAGCTAAAATAAATTGATAATATCAAAATAATTAGCTTGCATGAATAAGAATTTATTGTGGCAGGCCGAACCGGACTGTATTTTTCTGAATAGTTTGTACACTCCGTAGTGCTGAACAGCATGCATTTAGATCAGATGACAGTTCTAGAGCTCTTCTCGCGAATGAATCGCACGAAGTGATACCTCACGTTTCATAAGAGATACTAGTCATTGAGTAGAGCATGTTGAGACTAGAAGAAACATAGAATGATTGTTTTCCATGCGCCATCCTTTTGAAGTTATGGCTGTTTCACTGGATTTCTACCTTTGACACGGCATCTACAAAAACAACCCGAGAAACGAATTTTTCCTAAAACTTTGTGTATAGACAAAAAAACCTTGATATTCCATGGAAAATCTAGTTCTTTTTGTCTATGGGCAACGTTTTAGGTCAAAATTCATTTGTCCGTTTTTTTTCTATATACCATGCCACAGGTAAAATATCCAGTGTAACAGGCATAACTTCAAAAGAACCGCGCATGCAGAAGAATCGTTCTAGGCTTCTTCTAGTCTCAACAGTCTCTATATAATGACTGAGGCCTCATTTCAAAAGCTAGGTATCATCTCGAGTGATTACCTTGCATCAGCAAATTGCATTTCGAGAAATTGCAGTGTCTGTGTGTATGTGTCAGTAGACGAAAAAGTACTATATATGAATTTCGTAGTTGAAGTGTTTCAATTGAAGCTATTAGCTAATTATTGAGCAAACTAACTACATGAAAATCCACAATATTAAGTGTGAAATAATATGAGTATTTATGCGTACTCGATGGATTGCGCCATCTTGCTGAACGCTAAGGAGTGTACTAACTATTCATCAGAATAAGACTTTGTATAGAGACTAACGAGTTAAACTTGAGCCTGGCTTTGTCTGAAATTCATATAACTTATTTATTGTTAGAAATGCAAGAAAAAAATTTCGGATAAATTATTTAGAATATCAAACACATAAATGAATTCATTTTTATTGAATTATTCTATATTTTCTGCGAACGTACTAACCGAGTTCAATGCGTTGTTCATATGAATTTTGAATAGTTTCTACACGATGTAAATCTTCTATAGTAAGGAGTGATCGTCGTGATTGTGATGATGTTTGTGATTGGAGTTCAGTGACATCGGTAAGACGAAAAACATTTGTTTCTTTTGTTGTCGATAACTATACAAAAAAGGATATATATAATAAATTCGATTGATAAGAATTAAAAATTATTTTACATTATCGAACGATGTTGATGGTAATACTTGATGTTTCTCATCATCCATCTCATATTTTTGTATTGTGAAAGTTTGATTTTCTTCTATTGTACGCCGTTTTACTGCTTTTTCTTCGGCCTTAAAAATAAAATAATTGTGTAAAGTTTTTTTCCCCAATTTTATGATTTAAATCAGTACTCTTTCTAGTCGTTCACGTTTCATTCCACTATTAAAACACTTCGTTAAACGACATGTTGAACAACGCCGTCGTGTTTCGATTGTTATCTCACAACTACCTTGACGTCTACATTGTAATGTTGTCTTTGATAAGAGATATTAAAAAATAGATATTCTAATAATAAACAAAGTTGTAAGACTTACGGGATTTTTTAGAGCATTACGACGAAAAAATGCTTTACAACTTTCACATGAAATGGCATCAAAATTATATCCAAGTGCTGGCGAACCACAAACAACACAAGTTAATGAACCAATTCTTGTTCTTTTCTTATTTGATGCTGGTTTTTTTCCTTTAAACTATACATATAAGAGATAGAGTTTATTTTCTAGTAAAAAAAAGCTTTTTTAAATTTATTACTGATGAATAAGGAAAGTAATTATCATCGTCTTTGGATTCAATTATAACTGAATTAATCAATGATAAATTGTCAGTATTTTGAATTTGTTCTATAATACTTTCATCACCGGTTATAATCATAATTCGACGTTTTTTTGCGCTTGTTTGTTGGAACGTTTCAAATGCCATAAGCAGAATATAGATTTCCTATACTTTCTAAAAGAATATTCAAATTAGAAAAAAACTTAGTTGTAATGGTTTTTATCATTTTCAAAACAAATAATTAACAATTACATGTCCGAAGATAAGGTATCATATGATTATTTTGGAAATTAGAATATTAAAAAGTAAATAACTGATTAAGAGAAGCAAGAAATAAATTTCTCTTAAACAATCAAATTCTAAAAGTCACAGTCGAGTTCAGAGACTTCTATCAATAAAATTTTTTTCAATAAGATTCATTCGTGAAATGCAACAGAATTTCTTAGCTCGTTTCAGTCTCTGATTCGAAAAACAAATATTAAACTGGTATTATTGGTACATGATTCGAAATATGACTCTTCTAGGTAAAAAGCCTTTCTAATAAAATACAAAAAAGTTAATATAAAAAAAAAAACGAACAGTTTATCGATTATGCCAGTTCTTAAAATCTTCATTTCTTAAGCGAATATTTTAATGCAGCCGTTTACTGAATATCTGACTTGATTTTATAGTCATGTACTTGCTTATCGTTACACTCTAATAAGTCCTAGATTACAGTTTATTCGTTCTTTTTTGTTTTTGTTACTGTATTTTATTATGACTATGATTTTTTGTCACGAACGTCGTTTAGCTGTCCAATCGTAATTATAAAAGGATTGCTACCGATTATCGATATGTGCAAGGATAGACGATACTATACAAATAAAATACATATGATGAAGCATGAATGACGCAAATAGTTAGCTAGAAAATCGTATTTTTCATCAAAACGATCCTATCTAATTTTGTAACCTTATATCATAAAAGGCAATCAAAGGTTTTCGTTTAAGATTGTACTTTTATTTTTCTAAATGTCATTAAATTAAATATGAAAAGCTATATTTAATTGATTATAAACTTACAGATAGACATATGGAAAATTTTTTCTGTAAAAGTTAGGAAAAGATATTGTTATATATTTGACTAATAAGAAAAAACTGACACAAAAATGAAATATCATGTTCTTTTTTTAAGACTAGATCATACTCTGATTAAATCCTTTAATCATGTTGATCTATTACGTCAATTGTATGTTGTAAAAAGCATAAGAAATATTGTTTCATTTTCATGCTATTAAGTTTTTCTAATGGCTACTAATGACATTATTCGTTGTTGATTTTTATTAGAAAAAACAGAATCATGGTTTCTTGATTATATTGAAATTTAGCATATGATACTTGACAAACGAATAGGCTTAATTGAAGACTATAAATAAATAATAAAGACGTCAGAGGAACCGTAGTGAATCTTGTCAAAAATAAAATACTTTTCTATTTTTTCATATTAAGTAACAGCTTGATCATTTACCAACTGTTGCTCTTTACAAAATGAAACGGTGTCAGTATAGGTCATTCTCATTGCTTTTTCTTTTTGAATTAACTAGTAATTAGGCATATTAATGACGTCAATACTTCAGCTTTTCATATAATAAATTTTTTACCAAAAATGTCCGCATACTTAATTGATGGTGCATATATATTGTGTTCCAAATATCTTGATACTTAACATTTGATAGCTATCAAAGGAACCTCTCCAGTTGTCAAATCGCTTGTCGATTGAGAGTGTTTATTTATTGAGTACCAATGATTAATAGAAAAGGAATTAATCTCATTGAGAACTTTGTTCGTATAAATTTTGAAGTCGAAACTTCAAATAACACGAAGTTTTATAGCTAATCATAGATTTCTAGAATACTGCACGTTGATATGAACTAGACCTTCATTTTATATTAAGAAGAAAATTAATTTATATACGAACAAGTTAAATGTTTACCAACAGACTAATATAAATGATATTTATGGAAATATATTCAAATACTTGGCTCTATCTTCTGCAGGCAGGATATGATATGTTTTGACTGCGCCACAAGAAAACAATAGATGAAAAAAGCTATTCTACATCATGAGTTGACTTTTTCACATTAATTTTGTGTTTGCCTTCACCTTCAGCTAAATGCCTAACTTATCTATATTATTGGTCTTAACGTTTTATGTCAGAATGAACATCGGCATTCGCAGAAAAAAAGACGACAAATCTTGGAATAACATAAATCGTGGAGGCTGTTTTAATTATATATGCAAATACTCTATAAACTAAGGTGCAGTATTCTACAGATCTATATTATTATCTATAAAACTTAGTATTATATAAACAGATTTATAATCACATATATATTTACAAAAAAAAATAAAATGATAGAATTCTGACCTAACATTCAGTCCATAGATAGATCTAATGATTCTTGAAATATTTCGAAAGTTTCAGTCGAAGAGAATGTTTCTTTATTGAGATACTTAATATTCAAGTAAACTCAATTTTTGTTACAAGCGACTATTTGTTGAAAATTTAATATCTCGACAAAGGAATATTCTTTTCACCTGAAACTTTCAGAATATTCCAAGAGTCATTAGGTCTATCTGTGGATTAAATTTCAAGCTGAAATTTTATCATTTGATTTTTCCGTAAACGCCTAAAAAGGGTCAAAAGTCTCATGAAACGATCATACTTCGGTTTCAGAGGCCTATGGGCACGAACTCTGTTAGGACTTTTCTAATCTTACCGAGAGTTTCTTGTGAGTTCAATAAGAGCTTAAACGATGAGTTACAGTTCGGGTAGTTCTCTCATTAGTAAAACAGTTAGTAAAATGATTGTTCTTTTTTGTCTCAATTTTTTTATAAGTCATCTAGAAAAACACTCATATTTTATTTTCCATTTAAAATAATTGACATTTAAATGAAAACCTTAATAAGAAGTATTTTAGAAGTGTTTTAATCATATCATAGTGAGATGTGTTATCTTGGTACAGTATTTATATCGAAATATCCAAACGATAAATCGATAACCTAGACAAAACGAGTCATTATTTGAAACCTTTTTCTTTAGTCTATCATTAATAATTTTATATTTCATTATTTAATGTTTCTCATAGGTAAGATGTCACATCTAATAAACAATAAATGCAAAACATGTATTCAGCGACAGTCTATTTGAAATGAGCACGATTACTCGATAAATATTTTTCGTTATGCGTGTAAATATCACGCGCATTTGTCTTTTATTCGTTTCAAGGGAAAAAATATCGCAAAGATTTATCAACATAAATTGATAATGAGTCTTACATCGAAGAAAAGATCGAAAACACTTGCATAATTCTATTGTAACATCAAGGAAACTATTTATATTATACCATTATTGAATAGATGATTAAAAAAATGCGACTATCCAAAATAAAATCATTACTCGAAATATAATATTTACTTGATCTAATTTATTCATTTTCTTGTTATTTCATTTTTTACTAACGTCTTTTCTGTTTATGAAAAAAGAAAATTCAATATTTTAAATATAACTTTTTCAAAAAAAAACAAGAATGCTTTCTTTTCATAACATAAACTAATAACTTACATTTTTTTTCACTATAATCATCATATCTCACTGGTTACATTACATGTGCATTTCATTGCCGGAAGTGGCATCTGTTTTAGGAACAACAAAAGTCCTGGTTAACTGAGAGAATAAATGCTTAGAAAAACAGTTTTTCACCTCGTTGATCATAGAATAGTCATGACAAATAAAACACTATTATTTTCTATGTTAACAGTCGGACAGAACGAGAAAACAACAAACCCTTGTGTAAAGTGCACTGTCATACTTTACAACGTGAAAAAATATACATAACGATATGGCAAAAAAACGTTTTTTTTCTTTCCTCCATGTTTTTATTATATGATCGGCTTCTCGTGATAAGAAACGAATACGGGTCGTTGAAAACGAATTAAAAAAAACATTCAAAGATAGAAGTGGAATATCCTTTACATCTGTTTTCTGTTTTTTTACTTCTAAAAAAAACTTTAGAATATGACAAAAGATAAAAAAGTCTTTATTGGATGATTTGTTAACAGTAATATCTTTCATAGCGAATTTGTTTCATTCAATGTGTATAATCTTACTTCTGGTTTTTCAATCGAAGTCTTAATCAACTGGCTATTCAATGAGCATCGCAGTCTTTTAGGTTGCTATTTTCACATAGGCTGAGTACCGGGCGTTAGATTACGTTGGCACATAGTTGTCTACCAGATCAACGATTGTTTACGAGCAGTCAAAATAAAACGGATTTTATCCAATAGATATCTTATTCTTCTGTTGTTGAAGCTAGGAGTGTGAGCTGAGTCATTCCTAGTTCAAAACCTTGGCTCCGCCACGAACCTAAATATATCGAATACACATAGAGGAGAAAATTGGAACATATACACGAAATATGAATTATTATTGTTCTATACAAGTCATTGTTTCCATTTATAAAAAGGTAATATTTTTATGTAATTTAATCCTTTGCACAACTCTAAGTCAAGGAAAATATTTAGAAATTTTACAAGAACGCTAATGGAGTTTTATCTTAGTTTTTATCAATTGATTTTAAATATTACTTTGGAAATTGTGAAATAATAATATACCGAATTTAAATAATTCAACTAACTTAGAAAGTATCCTTCAGATATACTTCTTTTCATCGAAGAGTCGAAAATAAATAGCCGATAAGATAAATTTTTCGAGTGCTCGATGTACAATAGCTATTGAGAAGTTCTAAATAGGAACATAATGAATAAAAAATATATATTTTTTTCGAATTTTCGATTACTTATCACATGCTTTTCAAAGTTTGTTTATGTAGTGCTGTCATGTGTATATTTTCCTTGATCTTATATGACTAATGTAATAGAAGCTGAAAAAACATTGAAATCAATCGTTTGAAAATAATTGTTTTATTCTAGACTGAGAAATAGTTTACAATGCAAAAGCAATGACACAAAATGTCGATCTCTATTTCTTTTCGATGAAAGGATACTGAACGAAAACTTTTTATAATCAAATGATATATAGAGCTTTTTCTCCTCTTTTGAATCGTATGTAATTTATTTTTATAATATGTTCATAAATAAAACGACACA